ATTTGAAGTAGATTGTAAAGTTTTTTTTTCTCCTTTAAATTGGAGTTCTGCTTTAGAATAGAAGTCAGTGGAAGAACTAGGTGTTCGATAAACAATAGCAATTAAACGAAATTGTGGATATTTAAATCTTCCTTCAAACCTTAACATTTCAAGGTTCTCATGTTTTAAATCATGTTTGCAGTTGTAAATCAAATTCTAATTTCTAGTTAATATAACAAGCAACAACACTACCTGATGTATTGTTATCTTTTCTTACAAGATTGTTACTACTTAAATCAAGCTCAGAATCAAGGCTTCTTGCAAGTCAAGTTTATCAAAAGGATTGTTAAACAAATAGTTTATGTGGTTAAATTCCCATCTAGTGCTATGTATATGTAAGTGAGCTATTGTAAAAAACCTTTCTATCAAAATCCAGATTTCCCGGCGAAACATTTTATTTTAATTTGTTTAGTTTATCATTATCATAAAACTACAAGAATATCTCCAGCATCATGTGAGTTAAAAGGCATATATTCCTTCACCATTAACCATACACTACTATCATCACGATCCGCGACATGAAGGTAGCCATGATTCATTGATAGTGTTGCGTTAATGGTGAAGGAATATATGCCTTTTAACTCACATGATGCTGGAGATATTCTTGTTGTTTTATGATAATGATAAACTAAACAAACTAAAATAAAATGTTTCGCCGGGAAATCTGGATTTTGATAGAAAGGTTTTTTACAATAGCTCACTTACATATACATACATATTGAGTGACATAATAGGCTAGAAATTTAAAAATGTTCCACAATTCTTCCAGCTTAGTATTATTTTCTTTGCTAACACATTAATTAATTTACAAAAAAAAACCCTCAGCAACGACTTGAATTAAAGAAACAAAGCATGTGGGTCGAACCATTGACAATCTTTGCAACGTACGTAACATTTATTAACGAAGGATCGAAGATGGATAGTTCAGAAATAGACAATTATGAAATGAAACATTAGGAGTGATCGAGAGGGACGAAAAGAGAGAGGATGGCATCTTTGACATTCATTTTCAATGTTGCCTTTGCCAAAGCCCGCCGTCCCATATGGGCGCATTAAACAGTAGTGTAATGAATTGATGTCATGAACAATACACGGATAAATGCTTCCTCATTGTTCTGCGACCCCTTCCCCAACCCCACCCCTTCTCTCTCTCAGGGGCGTACGCAGGGGGGGGGGGGGGTTGAACCCCCCAAACCCCCCCTTTGGTATTTTTATGTATGTAAACCCCCTAAAAAAAACCCTAAAACCCCCCCCCCCCCTTTGGTTTTTTTTTAATTAAAAAAAAAAAATTATTATTCAAAACAAAAACAAATTATACCCACGGCTAACCTAAATAAGGTGACCTTACCCCCCCCCCCCCCCCCCAACGAAGAAAAATGTCAAACTTTGAAATTTCGAGACCCAAAAAAAAAAAAAAAAGTGTCCGCTTACCAATGTTTTCAATTCCGCGATTTTTAATGAGATCGCATTTCGACGTTCTCCTAACTAAAAATAGCTGATCATAATTATCATACATAGAACAAGTTTTGACCCTATCTGAAATATTCATTCAAATTAATAACAATCATGGAAAGATAAAGGAATAATAAAAACGTGATTTAGTAACATGAGATAACATGAGCAATTATTGTTTCTCTCTCTGTATGCCCCCCCCACACTAAGTGTTATTTAGGGTACGCATATGCGTATTCACAGCGACCCCCCTTCATTTGTTACGAGCCGGAGAGTTTGGGAACACGCATGGTATCCCTCCGTTCACGGAGTGGGGTGGGGGGGGGGGTGGGGGAGGTCTATATGTCTCTCCCTCTCTCTCTCTCTCTCTGTTTGCTCGCTTTCTCCTCGCCATTGTCCATCTTCATCTTTGGTATGGTTTTTCGTTCCGCCATTTGCTGTTATTCCGAAAGTATTCCTTACGGGGGGGGGGGGGGTGTGATCGGAAAGACAAATATGATGACAATAATGATAAATACAGTACAGACTACGTCTAAATTTTTTATCTCCCCTGCCCCCTCTCTCTGTCTGTACGTCTGTCTTTTGTCAATGTCGTTTTCCATCTTCATCTTTCATGTTATTTAAATTCCGCCATTTGCTTATTTGCCGGCATCATTCCTTTCTTGAGATAATCATTATAACATATTCCTGATGATGTACTCAATACACATTAAACCTTATATTTATTACACGGAACGAAAATGGGAACGATTGGCTGATTATGAGAAGAAGAAGAATATTATTATACATAAATTATATTCGATTTGGACTCCCATAACCCGTGTGTCCCTGATTGACACCTCCCAGTTACCCACCCGATAAAAATCTCCTTTAAAAAAAAAAAAAAATCGGTTAAACACAGAGGAAACGTTGTTTAAAATTCTAAAGGCTCTTTTACACTTTCACGGATCGCATCACGGATCATCCCGGATCTTAATCCGGGGTGTTCCGGCGTGCGACACCACGATTTCTTCTCGATGCCGGTGTGGATACGTTCCGAACTGGGTGTATACACGGGCAAGTACGGTGTCTCCACGGACAGACAAGGTAGCAACGCGGACCACGCCGGAAACGCATACGGAGCTAACACGGATTTCAAGGAAGAGCACGGAGGCTACTGGGTACTTTAACGGTCCTTACACGGAGGTGTACGTTGTCTATTGGGATATATCCGGAATGTTGACGGGTGACTTGAGCTTGTAGGCGCTCATTTGATATACGGAATTTCAAACCCGGATGAAACCGGTGTTAATACGGACCTCTCGGTGTCTACACGGACTGTCCCGGATGTATTCGGCGGCTACACGGATGTACACGGTGCCTACAGGGAAGAGGACGGATTGTTTCATCCGTGAACTCCGGGATGAAAAATTAAGCAAGCTTAATTTTTCCCCCGGATATGCCGGTACGCCAAGGATCACGCCGGATGCCTCCCCGGTGTATACACGGTAATGCCGGAGATAACACGGATGATCCCGGAGCGACGATCCGGGATGATCCGTGATGCGATCCGTGAAAGTGTAAAAGGGCCTTAAGAGTTTATTACAATGAACTAGACAGCTGGTTGTTCATATAATATTGTAAAAAACTAGTTTCATTTTTAAAGAGGTCGTATTTTTCGTAAACAACCCTTTTAATGAGATCGTGATGCGACGTACTCCTAAATAAAGACGTGTTTCTCCCTCTGTATGTCTCTCTTGCTCGCTTTCTCAGCGCCATTTTCCATCTTCATATTTGGTACTGTTTTCCGTTCCGCTATTTGCTTTAATTCCGAAAGTATTCCCTTCGATCTTGAGCTAAACTATTATACCATAACCTCGATAAAAAGAGAAGGAAAACACAGAACGAACGCCTGATGATTTTGAAATGAGAAGAATATTATTACTGTACAATAATTATACAAAGTAAAGATTTAATGTAAACCTCTGTTGCATCTCTGTTGCATCAAAATGTGTATAATGCTATATTGACGGTACTGGGGGGGGGGGATGCTAGGAGTCCACTGGGCCAGCGCCAGTTGGTGTCAGTTCGCGCCAAAGATTATGTGATTGGCGCGTAGTGGCTCGCTGTGGCGCCGAATTAATGTCCGCTCGGCATGTGTCACCAATTGGAATAAACTGGGTGCCATATGGCGTTCGCCAAATGCCACCCGGCTTGCTCCAAAATGTTGCGCCAGTTCGCGCCATTACACGGCCATTTGATTCCAAAATTCACCCTGTTGGCGCCACTCGCGCCAATAGACGGCTACTTTGCGCCACTTTGTGATAAGTTTGTGCCAAAGGTCGCCAAATTGGTTTGAACTTGCCGCCGCTTGGCGCTACTTGCCGACTATATAAATACCAGCCATCGGCTACCTGGTTCAGACCCTCCTCAGCTGCTTTATGAACAACATCTCTACTAAATATTTACAATTTTGATATGTCTGAGGCTTTTGATAATGTTGGAGTGATGATGCTGCTCCATCAGAAGATGATGAGAGATGCTGAGGTGGCAACTGCCTATTTCGCCATGTGGCACGAAATCTCATTGGCGCAACTTGGCGCGCGTCATTACATTCCAGTGGATTCCAATAGGCGGATTCTTTGCGCCAAAGGGCGATATCTTCGCGCCATTTGGTGCCACTTGGCGGACACTTGGCGCTGATTGCTCGATGCAAGTGGCGCGACGAAAATTTCAAACACTTTGAAATTTTCTTGCCGCCACATTCAAATTTGGTGCCGATCATGCTAGGAATCCACTGGGCTGGCGCCAGTTGGTGCCAGTTTGCGCCAATGCAATTTACTTTGGTATACACGGAGGGTGAAAGAAGCTATCAATATCCGTCTCAATCCTAATAATTTCAACAGAGACAACGGGATCGATATCCCCGAATTTTGGATGCGGACGATACGCCGCCATGACACTCGCCGTCCTGCCAGCCAACACCGGTCGATTCCATTCAGCAGACGGTCTGATCCAGCGGCCCGTTGATTGGCTGAGTACCGTATGCGTCGGCCAATAGGCCTGGTGCATTAGCCGAACCAGCGGCCGAATCCAGCGGCCTGGTTATTGGTCGATTACCGTGTGCGTCGACCAATAGGCATTGTGCGTTATTGTTCCAATTATCGATCGATTTATGGACCGCTCCGCACGGTCCTCCCGTAGAGTATAAAAGACCCTTGCTTACAGTAGTTTTTATCACCTGACGAAGTATCGCAGTAGCATACGAAACGTCGTGATCTTTTAGATTCCTTATTGACCACATTGCGAGACAAACGAATATCACTAGCGATATTATTTTCGATACTATATCCGCAATGAGTAATATATTTAGCATTATTGATCGAACATACGGGCGCCCTGCCCTGAAACTGATGCGTAGATATGAACGTTGTAGCAAGAAGGTGGCCCGGTTCACCAATCACCTAACCTTTTTGGTTCGTTGCATTAAAGCATCCGTGGTCCCCAATGACCTACGGATTAAACCCCCGATGCGTACCATGGGGGCAAAGAAGGCAGCTGAAACGGCATCCCGTCGTTTCTTAAAAGAACGGATTTTTCTAACCAGACGCACTCTTGGCTCGGCCAAGACCGAATATGAAACTTTGAAGGCCGAAGTCATATCGAACTTAGTCCCCCAACATAGCGATGAGATATTGAAGGTTAATGAAGACATCTACCGAGATGTCTTCATGAAATGTAAGACGAGACAACAAACGAAATTTGATAAACTCACACAGCCAAAGTCGAGCAGCACGGTGCCCTCATTAGCGAATGAGGAGAAGTGGGTTATTAACCTATCTTCTAGAACGATCTCTTCTTCGGAAGAAGAGATTCTTAAGAAAGGCCTCGGCTTTGCCGTCTCCCCTAGACGGATTCCAGCTACCGAAATAATTGCGAAAGTTGAGACAGCGGTCAAGTATCTTGATGCGGAGTCGGCCGACGCCACCCGCAGAGATGTAGACAACATCCTACAAAAAGCACGCCCCCCTAAGGTAACCCGACACATGCTCCGCCGACGATTGCTCCGCCGACATTTACTCCGCAAAACGCGACAATTGCTCCGCGACATTTGCTCCGACGTCAAATGCTCCGACGTCAAATGCTCCGCCGACAGTTGCTCCGCCGACAGTTGCTCCGCCGACAATTGCTCCGCCGACAGATGCTCCGCCGACAATTGCTCCGCCGACAATTGCTCCGCCGACAATTGCTCCGCCGTCAATTGCTCCGCAAAACGCGACAATTGCTCCGCCGACATTTGCTCCGCCGACATTTGCTCCGCCTGAAGCGACACTTGCTCCGCCGACATTTGCTCCGCCGACAATTGCTCCGCCGACAATTGCTCCGCCTGAAGCGACAATTGCTCCGCCGACATTTGCTCCGCCTGAAGCGACAATTGCTCCGCCGACAATTGCTCCGCCGACAATTGCTCCGCCTGAAGCGGCAATTGCTCGGCCGACATTTGCTCGGCCGACATTTGCTCCACCGACATTTGCTCCGCCGACAATTGCTCCGCCGACATTTGCTCCGACGACATTTGCTCCGCCCAAAAAGTGTCCCATAAACTACAAATGCTACTAGTACTACGACAAATGCTTCGCCGACAATATTTTCTTTACACCTATTTTTTTCGTTTCTTTTTTTCTTCTTCATTTTCTGAATGCATTTCTTGAAATAATGTAGATGAAATGAAATGAATGAATGTTGATAATGTGGGAGGAAAAAGGAGTTACCTAAAAGTCATTTCGAATATATTGAAATAACTTTCCATCTATCACTGTACGTCCCATACACTCATTACATGTCGTGGGAAGTTTTTTAAAAAAAGTAGAGCAGCAAGCCACATTCCCCAATACGCGCATACCTCCTAGTTAATTTCAAGTAGCTCATCAATATGTAATACCTGAAATTACCTCGATCAATGCATCTTACTAGGTAAAGCATTATACAATGTAATAGGTCATCATGGAAGTTTAGAAAATAAGTAAGGGGGATTTACCAAGTGTTGATCTTTTTAAGAGTTTTATAAAGAAACAAAAAGATATTGAATATTTCTCAGCGAAAAAAAGGAACAAGCTTGTTTCGCATTTTAAGAAATGGCGATTTGACTTATGATACTCATGTTGATTTAACTTTTATTCCTGTGCCCCCTCACTCCCCTTTATGCACTGGAGTTCAAACTATGATTTATATGTGTACAGTGTATTTTTTTTTTTACTATAATGTTTTTTTTTATAACTTTCTTGTCCTTTCATTATTGTTAGTTGTTCTTATACATATTGGTTTTTTTGTTTGTCTAATTATTACAAATGACTTGTAAATATGTAATTTTTATATGATTGAAAATTTAATAAACACACAAATATAAAAAAAAAAGTTTAGAAAATAAGGGCACTTATATACGTAAGGAAGAGAACCCATTCAGACGGGAAAATGAGATGGCAGCCTTTCTGCTTATTCACATTTATACAAATCATTTTGTTGCAGTTTGATGTTAGTTCTTCATGATAAGCCAATTGCTCTTCTTCCGGTGGCTTCGTGAGTCCCTTAAATTATTTAGTGAAAACAAAGTACTCGAATGAAACGGAGTGTTTTGCACACTAACATATATATATTAAAGCTACATACACTTAACTAAAGGAAAGAAACCTTAAGAAAATGGACTGGATATTATTGAAAATATTATTCTAAACAAGAATGTACTACATGATTGTATTACTTTACGTTTCAATTTCACGAGAGAAATAGAACTCGAGAGGGGGAGCAGAGAAGAAGTGATGGAAATGAAAGAAGACTAATAGCATGAGAGGAAAGAAAAGAGCAAAGAAGACAAGAAAACGGTGTAAACAGGAAAAGGAGGAGCATGGGAGAGAGAGAAAGAGAGAGAGAGAGAGAGAGATAGCCTTGAGCTTTGGATCAGCTAATGAGTAATACATGAAACAGATTTTGAGCGGAGTAATTATCTTTCACCGGAGAACTTGCGTAAGGAGCTATAATTTTATTTTTTATTTTTTTAAATCAAACATTATGGGGAATAGCAAAAAACGGTTGTCTTTTTTGCTCTTTTCTTTCCTCTCATGTTATTAGTCTTCTTTCATTGAGGTAATTTCAGGTCTTACATATTGATGAGCTGTTTGAAATAAACTAGGAGGTATGCGCGTGTTGGGGAATGTGGCTTGCTGCTCTACTTTAAAAAAAAAAAAAATTCCCATGACATGTAATGAGTGTTTAGTGTACATTATGTGGGACCTACACTGATAGATGGAAAGTTATTTCATTATATTCGAAATGACTTTTAGGCAACTGCTTTTTCCTCCCACATTATCAACATTCATTCATTTCATTTCATTTACATAATGTCATGAAATGCATTCAAAAAATGAAGAAAAAAAGAAAGAAACAAAAACAACCCGTGAAAAAAAAATATTGTCGGCGAAGCATTTGTCGTAGTACTAGTAGCATTTGTATTTAATGGGACACTTTTTGGGCGGAGCAAATGTCGTCGGAGCAAATGTCACCGGAGCAAGTGTCGCTTCATGCGGAGCAAATGTCGTCGGAGCAATTGTCGGCGGAGCAAATGTCACCGGAGCAATTGTCGCTTCAGGCGGAGCAATTGTCGGCGGAGCAATTGTCGACGGAGCAATTGTCGGCGGAGCAAATGTCGTCGGAGCAATTGTCGGCGGAGCATATGTCACCGGAGCAATTGTCGCTTCAGGCGGAGCAATTGACGGCGGAGCATATGTCACCGGAGCAAATGTCGGCGGAGCAAATGTCGGCGGAGCAAGTGTCGCTTCAGGCGGAGCAAATGTCGGCGGAGCAATTGTCGCGTTTTGCGGAGCAATTGACGGCGGAGCAATTGTCGGCGGAGCAATTGTCGGAGGAGCAATTGTCGGCGGAGCATCTGTCGGCGGAGCAATTGTCGGCGGAGCAACTGTCGGCGGAGCATTTGACGTCGTAGCAAATGTCGCGGAGCAATTGTTGCGTTTTGCGGAGTAAATGTCGGCGGAGCAATCGTCGGCGGAGCATGTGTCATGGAACCCCCCCTAAACTCAACATTTCGAAAGAAATGCACACCGCTCTCAAAACTTTGAAGGCTGATGATAGTATTACTATTCTTCCAGCCGACAAAGGTCGTGCCACAATCATTCTAGACACCACAATATATCATGAGAAATTGACCGACTTATTGGAGTCTGGTCCGTATCGTGTATTAAAGAAAGATCCCACAGATCGCTTGGCTCGCAAGCTTACCAACACCTTGCTGAACCTAAAGAAAGACAATGTGATGGATGAACCGACCTATCGTAGACTGAAACCCACACAAAAGCAACCTCCTAGAATATACGGGTTACCCAAGATACACAAACCCACAGTACCATTACGACCTATAGTGTCATGCATAGGCTCCTTTGCCTATAACCTCTCAAAGTACCTAGCTGAAATTCTTTCTCCGCTCACCGGTTTGACTGAATATACGATTCCCAATTCGAGTGGTTTTGCAGAGTTCATAGCAGAGCAAACCATCGGTACTCAAGAACGCATGGTTTCGTTTGACGTAGTTTCACTCTTCACCAATGTACCGATTGAGGGCGCATGCAATGCTACATTGCAACGCTTACAATCAGACAGCAATTTGTCTACCCGTACCGCACTCTCACCGGAACAACTCACTCAACTCCTCGAGTTTGTTCTACGATCCACATATTTTCTGTATAAAGGTTCATACTATGAACAGACAGAAGGGGCAGCCATGGGCAGTCCAGTCTCGGCTGTCGTGGCCAACCTATACATGGAGAGTTTCGAAGAAGATGCGCTGGACACATGTCCCCTCTCTTGCATACCTCGTGTTTGGAAGAGGTACGTAGATGACACCTTCATCATAGTTCCCATCTCTGAAACAGATAAGCTGCTTAAACACATGAATAGCCTTGAACCAACCATCCAGTTCACATCAGAGATAGAGTGTGAAGGGAAGATAGCATTCTTAGACACTCTAGTTCATAGACACGACAACCATAGGCTCTCCACCTCAGTCTATAGGAAGCCTACCCACACAGACCAGTACATTGACTCTCACCATCCCATATCGGTGAAGAGAGGTCTAGTGAAATGTCTATTTGACAGAGCTTCACGCATTGTGACAAGTCCACAACAGCCATGCAAAGAACGGACCCGTGTTCGCAGCGCCCTGAGTCTCAACGGTTACCCACGCCGTTTTATACACAATACCAAGAATAGGTCGTCGGAACCCAGGGATCAGAAGGTATACAAGACTTTTACAGTCTTGCCGTACATTGATGGGGTCTCCCAACAACTCAAGCGCCGCCTAGAGAGCCATGGCATTCGAACGGTTTTCAGATCAGATACCACCCTACGTCAACAACTTACACGCCCCAAGGATCCAATTCCTCCACATAGACGGGACGGCATTGTGTACAACATCCCTTGTAAAGGATGTGATAGATCCTACATCGGTGAAACTGCCCGTCCGATAAAAGAAAGAATCACTGAGCATAAGAGGGACGTCAGACTCCGTCGAACTGACAACTCAGCCGTAGCCGAACATGCTTGGGATAACCAACATCAACCAGACTGGGACGGGGTTCAGTGCCTTTCCCAGGAAAGGCATTGGTACACACGAAGGGTGAAAGAAGCTATCAATATCCGTCTCAATCCTAATAATTTCAACAGAGACAACGGGATCGATATCCCCGAATTTTGGATGCGGACGATATATGCCGCCATGACACTCGCCGTCCTGCCAGCCAACACCGGTCGATTCCATTCAGCAGACGGTCTGATCCAGCGGCCCGTTGATTGGCTGAGTACCGTATGCGTCGGCCAATAGGCCTGGTGCATTAGCCGAACCAGCGGCCGAATCCAGCGGCCTGGTTATTGGTCGATTACCGTGTGCGTCGACCAATAGGCATTGTGCGTTATTGTTCCAATTATCGATCGAATTATGGACCGCTCCGCACGGTCCTCCCGTAGAGTATAAAAGACCCTAGCTTACAGTAGTTTTTATCACCTGACGAAGTATCGCAGTAGCATACGAAACGTCGTGATCTTTTAGATTCCTTATTGACCACATTGCGAGACAAACGAATATCACTAGCGATATTATTTTCGATACTATATCCGCAATGAGTAATATATTTATCATTATGTTTTTTGAATCACAAATATATGGCGCCATAGAAATGCTGTTCATCATCATCATCATCAAATGCATTATTATACGTACACTTTCTCAAACCCCTCGAAGGCTCTCCCGCTTTCTCTCCCTCCCTCATCTCTCTCTCTTTCCCTTGATAATAATGTTTATTTTACAATCAGCCATGCATGAAGTCTTTCGTATACGGATGATTTTCAACGAAACGGATTTAAGTCTTTTGTTAATTCCATTTGTTGCTACGGTAAGGCGGCCAGTGAAAACGAATTTGTTTCATAAAATTATGCAAATGCAAGCTCTACTTTGAACAAACAGAACTTTGTTATTTCTAGCTTATTTTTCCTGATTGAGGTGTCATACGAAAGTGCAGAAACTGAACTATCTAGAAATGTGATTTTCTCTTTGAAATTCAGATACCGTCCGCCAAATGACTTTGGTTATCTCTCTTCAAATTGATTTTAATCACTCACACACGTGAAATACGCATTATATGAGTTGTATCAAATGAAAGAGGAGGATCTAAGCTTTACAAATATGTGTCATTTATCAATTATAAATGGATTAAGTTATGATAAACCATCGAAAATTTTCGTTATCGTTTTTTTCTGGGATGCACTGTATATATAGGGCCTATAACAGGTGACCCGTGAATGAATGCAGGAAATTCAGATACTTCCACAGTTCTAGAAAAATAAAGACTACTAGAGTAAACCGATGGTGAGAGTCTGAACACAATTCAGAGGAAATTAAATAAAATACAACGAAGTTAAACTTAAAGTAAACAATGTCAAAGCTACGCGAAATTAGGCTACTTATTGTATTTGTATGCATAAATGTCGATAGAGTCACTCATACTGTAGTTAGCATGACGTTAAATGGTGTAAATCTCATATAGCTCCGTTTAGTCTCATTTCACAACGCCCCCTATCGTCAGAGTCAGCAGCCATACATGTTAGCCTATGGACGTTATTTTTTAAATCGTTAAGAATTCATTTTTTGTTTAAACGAAAAGCACATCCACCCCGACGTACGTTATCACTAGGTCTTTCATTGGAGCCCTCATGTCTCATTGACTTTTGAAAGTTCACCCACCGTAATTTTTCAAAATAGGTTGCAAGCTCGCCATTGCCTATAATACACATGTGAAACAAGTGTAACTTTGGACTCAGTCTGCCAAGTGATTGTAAGATTATAGGTCAAGCACACGAAGGATAAGAAGCATGAATTATCAATTATCACTTCTGCTCTGTTCATTATGTCCATTCATCCAACCCCCCACCGTAATTTTTCCATTTAGTAAAAGCAAACATTTTGCCGAGTTTAGCAAAAACATGAATATTCATGAACGGTCAGACAATACAGCCTTTTAGTACGTAACGTATAGTGAATGGGAATGGGCGATGATCTGTCCAGGAGATAGAGGTCAGTGTTTTGTGCTGGCAATGTTCACGCGAGCGAAAATGAGACAATCGGAGCAATATGATGATAAATATACAAATAATACCCTGTTCAAGTAAGACACTCGTTGTTAACTCTTATCGTGCCACAGGGCTAATCCCCATTGTGCCAGGTTGTTTTGGAGATAATGTGATTAACGCGATGGTTCTATGAATGGCGAGTGCAAAACACACAGCACAGCCCAATGAGCATGAACAATAACTGCTACTACGTAAGTGTGCACGCACGCACATGACACTCAATAGGTAGCGTGCATGCAGCTTCATGGCAGGCTATGAGTTAACTTAAGTTTTAGACGTTATCGTGACTGTCAATTTCAAGCCACAATTAACAAGATAATATTAATTTTGACTAGTAGACTAAACGTTATAAATTGAATCTACTTAGTGTTGTCAAAACCTACTCAAAAATATTACATAGCATGGCATTGGATTGCTAAAGATTTTAGTATAGATTATCAGCAATTGAAATGATCAGAATCAGATTGAATTGCATTTCCATTGGCATTATGCCATACGTGATGCGTACATGATATACATATGGGACTACACAGAGCGCTAGACGCTAACTACTTCCAACTTCCAACCTGCTTCTAAATTACATAGAAAGCATAGTTGAACTTTCGAATGTAATGTCCGTCAACATTCTTTGTAATACTGGTTTGAGCAATTAATTGCAGCACATGAAGGCATTTTCAACGATTACATTTCTGAAAACAAAGTTCAGAAACAGAACCTGCAGTCGAGTTGTACACAAATCTGTATTCCAACCCTCTCGCACGTCGATTTTTTGGAAGTGCAACATGGCGGACCCACGAAGTCAGTTCTGTGAGCCAATGAAATGTCCAGGTGTAGAGGTCAGTGTGTGGGACAGGCATCGCCGACCTGTAATACGCTGCTCTACGAATTTCATGTGAGAGAAAAATGGACATGCTAATGAAAAAACCCAGATTATAATGAATAATTTGAAAATACACAAAACAGGACCAATTGATAATGTTAGTTTATAATTGGGGGGAGGGAGGAAGAAATGAGTGCAATTTTCATATTTTAATGAGATATATTAAATAGAAGAGTAAAATCAACCCAAATTTCTAAACGATGATAAAAAATTATAATTTATTGCTTTCCTTTCATTATTCATCATCCTCCCCATCTGTTAGTAATAATAATAAAGATAATATGATGATGATGATTATAATAATAATAATGATAAGCCGAAGAAACACTAGCGTACGAGGGGGGGGGGGGAGGGCAGAATGCAGATAGGGAGGCAGACTGCACCCATAATGGATGGCCAGTGAAGAACCAAGAGAGAGAGAGAGAGAGAGGGCAGAGAAGAGAGAGAAAGAGAAGAGAGGGAGGAAAATAGATGAAAAGGAGAAAGAGAAAATATATTTTTGGAGAGGGCTTTATATACCAAGTTCAAAGAAAAAAATAATATTAAAACCTTCTGTAAAATGCGTTTTGCCTCTATGAGTTAAATGACAATGGAATAGCAAAATCTCCAAACAAGAATTCATGAATCAACACATTGGATTTATGGCCAGCACGTTATTGTCTATACCGGCGAGAGACAAAAATTTCCACGAGTCATTATTTCCATTAATTGCTGGAGAATTGAATTTGAATGGGGCTCCCATAACCCGTGTGTCCCAGATTGACAACTCGATCCAAGTTACCTCCACTAAAAAAAATCTACTTTTCAATAAATCATTCGGTTATTTATGCACAGAGAAAACGTTGTTTAAAATGCTAAAAGTTAATTACAATATGAACTAGACAGCTGGTTGAATTTTTTTAACAGGTCGTTTATTTTTAAACAACCCTTTTAAAAGGTGTTTTGATTGTGTATGATCCATTCCTAACATACAATAACAATTAGACACGAACTCAAGCTAAGCTAATATAACTTAATTTAGCCGCAGAGGGAGCAAAACAAGTATGACTAATTTATCGTACGGCGCCCGGGGCAAATGTAATCCAGCCTGGATTACATTTGCCCCGGGCGCCGTACGATAAATTAGTCTACGATTTTTCGTAGATATCGTAGTAGGCTACGGGCTACGATGCTTGTGTTTACATTATCTACGAGCATCGTGCCATTTATTGTATTGGCCCTTGGGGGCAGGCCGGAGCAAATCCGTACAGAGGCTGCTCGGAGATTGTACGGATATCGTGCAATTAGAATGTAGTAGCCGTGCAGTCTCCGCAGCCTCCGCACGGAAATCGTACGGAGTCCGTGCAGCTTCCGTGCAAAGGTTGCGCGGAGAAGGCGCGGGATGACTGCTAAATATCACGGATACTGCACGGGCAGCGAGCAGCAACCTTGCGATAGCTGTGCAATGGCCGTGCGAATGCCCCACGAGTCTACAATCTCTGTACGATTTTGTTTTCCCCCATGTTCACCGAAAAATTGTACGTTTGCTGCACAATCAGTGAGAGGCCCCCGGGCGATGCCCGTGCGGGGATTGTGCAATGCCACCTACGACATGTATACGGGCTACGGGCTTACGATTTTTTCAATTTTTTTAACTTCTCGCGAAACAAAATCGTAAAGGCTGCGGAGCCCGTGAATCCGTACGAAAATCTCACGGCTGCCTCCTGCCTCCGCACAGAGGCCGCACGGAAAAGGGGATACGGACAGGATACGGGCTCCGTAGACTAATCGCAGGCCAAATGTAATCCAGGCATAAGGAAGTTAGATTTTTCACGATTTTAAGCTAAATAAGATACGATTTTGTGACCGCGTAAGGCATTATGCGAACGGAGACGACCTGCATTATGTCTTCTTAAAAGTATATTTTTACGTTTTAGCTTTGATAATTATATAAAGACATTCCTACACTATCGCTCATATAGTTGGAATATTTTTGTTTTACCCCAAATTATGGAATTATTTTAAAAATAGTTTAAAAATAATAGATCTAGATAATAGTATACGTTCTCAGATTGTAATGAATAATAGTTTGCAAGTGTTTGTTTTACGTGACTGCTAAATCATGTGTGTGCTACCAGGCGCGGATCCAAGGGAGGGAGGGGGGTATTGCCCCCCCCCCCCCCCACAAAAAAAGAGAAAAGGAAAAAAAGGGAAAGTGAAAGAGGAGAGAAAACAAAGAAAGAAGAGGAAGAAGAAGAGAAAAGGGGGGAAAGAAGACAATCGGGGGAGGGGGCGGAAGGGCCTTGCCTCCCCCTCCCCTCCCCCAAAAAGAGAGAAGG